CCGGTGCCGGGACCCTCCTCGCACTCCGCAGCCCCCTCAGCGTACCTCTCCCTCGCGCGGCCCGAAACGTGGGTTGTAGATGAAGAAGCTCAACAGCGCGGGCGGGAACTGCTTTTCTTGGGCCGCCCAAGTCCCCGTCCCGGCCGCCGCTGCAGCCATTCCGGCCCGGCCCCCACGTCGGGAGCCTCCCCTCCGCCCGCTCAGAGACAGCTGCCTAAGGGAACGCCGCACTTCCGCCTCCCTCGCCGTCGGCCCGGAAGACGTCGCTACTGACCCAGAAGAAGAACCTGCAGCGCCCCGTCCATCTCTTCTAAGTCCGTGTAGATCTGCTTCCCGCGTATTTCATGGGCTGTGGTGTGTCTTATTTTATTGGCTCTTGATATCTGTCATGTCTGAAGGCGAAGACCATGAATTTCAAGAGAAATGTAGCAATGGGTGGGTTGTTTGTTTGTTTGTTTGTTTAAGACAGCGTTTCACTATGTAGCCAAGGCTGGCCTGAAACTCGCTGTGTAGACCAGGCTGGCCTCGAACTCAGTGATCCCCCTGCCTCTGCCTCCTGAGTGTTGGCATTAAAAGGTGTGCGCCGTGGAAACGGTATTTTTGAAGTGTGAAGAAGCATTTAGCAAGGCATATACATGTGTCTTGAAGTTTGCCCCATTTTCAGCTGTTATTTTTTGACATCTATACACAGAACAACTTGTTGAAGTCACTTCTGCCCTTCAGCACCACATAAACTCGGTGTGGCGGTGCATGCCTGTAATCCAGCACTGATGATGAGGAGGTAACAGGATCAAATAGCACCTCTATTTATATTAGCTGTAAGTAATGGGCTAATAAATAAAGGCAAAAAATGTCAACATCTACCTTACCATAGAATTGGAGAGAAGGCACTGACTGCTTTTACAGAGGACCTGGGTTCAGTTCTAAGCCCCCCTCAGGCAGTTTATAAGCATCTGTAACTCCAGCTCCAGGGGATCTGATGCCCTCCTCTGGCCTCCATGGGTACCAGCACGAATGTGGTACGCATATACATATAAAATAAAATAAATAAATCCTTTTTTAAAAATCTACCCTACAACTGACAAAGTAAAGCTGTGTTTTTGGTTTTTTTTTTTAGGTTTTTGTTTTGTTGGCCAAGTGAAAACATGTAAATCTATAGTCTTCTTGGTGAATAAATTAACAGGCCAAGTGGAAACTATCCTGTCGATTCCGATTTCATCAGTCTTCTTATGTGTTTGTGAAGTAATCCCACACCCTAACAGTTGCAGAAGAGATACGGGATAGGTTTTTGCTTGAAATTGGACTCGTGAGCACGCATTTACACCACACTGAACTGTAGTTGCTACACAGAACTATGTAAAAAAGCAAATCGACAAGTATGTCTCATCTTTGCTTCATTTTCATTTTGATACAGAAAGAACTACTTTGAAAACCTATACGTTAGCTAGGCATGATGGCACAGGCAAATAGTCTTACATTTGGGATGTGGAAACTAAGGCTAGCCTACGCTACATAGACCTGTCTCAAAAAATATTTTGTTGTTGTTTCTTTAAATAAACAAAACAGGATCTCGAATAGCCCAGCCTGACCTCCAAATCACTATGTAGTCAAGAATGGCCTTGAATTCCTGGTCCTCCATTCACCTGCCAAGTTCTGTTTTGTTTTGTTTTTAATTTTATGTGTATTAGTGTTTTGCCATGAGAAGTTTCAGGACCCCTGAAACCGGAGTTACAGACAGTTGTGAGCTGCCATGTGGGTGCTGGGAATTGAACCCAGTCCTCTGGAAGAGCAGCCAGTGCTCTTAACTGCTGAGCCATCTCCCCAGCCCCCACCTTCCAAATTGTGGCATTGCCACTGTGCACCACCAGGCTCAGTAATTCTGAGTCTCAACAGTTAAGCCATTCACAAAACTGGCTTTGATGTCACACCCATTAAATCTCAAACTACCTCACCAAATTAAAAACCAAGATTGTAGTTAGATTTTAAAAAATAGTTCAAATTAAAGCCACTGTTACAGTCTTATTTTAAAAACAAGCAAGAAAAATGACAGACACTTAGTTTTTCAGAGTTGTAAAATATATTGCAATCTAGACCTTCATTTTAAAGTCAAATATTCAACTGTGTTGAGAACATATTTCGTTGGTCATCTGCAGATTACGTGAAAATATCAAAGGCAAGCATGAAAATAAAGCTGCCTGTAAGCTTCGTTAGCCCTTTTCTGAACTAATAGACTTTATTAGAATTTTCCTGTTTTGATTTGGTCCCTCAGTATGTAAAACTATTAGTAAATCAAAACTGTGTAGAAACAGAAATTTATGCAGGACATGCATGTATGTCTATGTGTGAGTGAAGGTGTATCCATGCCACAGTATGTGTATGGAGGATCTGTGTGTGTGTGTGTGTGTGTGTGAGAGAGAGAGAGAGAGAGAGAGAGAGAGAGAGAGGACGTGTTCATGCCACAGTAATGGAGGTCAGAGGGCAACTTCAGTCCATCATCTTGTTTGAGGCAGGGTCTGTTGTTTGACTGATGCACACAGCAGGCTAGATGGTCCACAAGCTCCTGGGGGCTCTCCTGGTCTAACTACACAACAGATGCTTTTACCTGATCAGCCATCTTCTTAGTTGCTTTTTTAATTGCTCTTTCTCCTAAGAAGGCTGTGAAATTAAGTTTCTAAAACCAAGTGTGATGATTATATAAGCAGAGTATTTGTTTTATTTGTTTGTTTTAACTTTGGGTTTTTTTTTTTGAGTCAGGACCTCAACTATGTAGCCCTGGCTGGCCTGGAACTCTCTATGTGGACCATACTGACCTTAAATTCACAGAGCCTCACCTGCCTCTGCCTCCTCAGTCCTGGGATTAAAGAGGTTTAAATTCCCAGGTAGTCTATTTAGCATATGGGAGGCAGCATAGGAGGGCCCCAGAAAATGTTAAGTATGGACATTGGTTAAAAGTATGAGATCCTAGCCGGGCGTTGGTGGCGCACGCCTTTAATCCCAGCACTTGGGAGGCAGAGGCAGGCGGATCTCTGTGAGTTCAAGGCCAGCCTGGTCTACAGAGAGAGTTTCAGGACAGCCTCCAAAGCCACAGAGAAACCCTGTCTGGAAAAAACAAACAAACAAAAAAAAAGTATGAGATCCTGGGGCTGGAGAGATGGCTCAACAGGTGAAGAGAGGACCCGAGTTCAGATCCACAGCACCCAGGCAAAGATATTGAGCAAAAGCATCATGTGCTGTAATCCCAGCACTGAGGAGCCAGACATGGATGGGCTTACTGCCCAGCCTAGCCTAGCTCTATCAACCCTGAGTCCAAGTGAGACATTGTCTCAGAAAATAAGGTGGAGAGAGATAGAGTGAGATATTTGACATGGATCCCTGGCTTCCACACACATGTGCATGTGCACTCTTGTGTATGCATGCATACACCACACACACACACACACACACACACACACACACACACACACACACACTGTGAACTGTTAAACACGCTCCTAGGAAAATGCTCCAGGACTCTCAGGTGTCCTCAACTCTCAGGGTCAGCCAGAGAACAGCTTTAGGTGCCACTTGGAAAGCAGCCTAATGAGAAATTCCTGGCTTGAGACTCCCCAGCGTGGTAACAGGACCCTTGAGGCTAGCTTCACATGGTGTCGTCTCTTATGGGCCAGGAAAATGGTGGCTGAGAAGAAGGGGTGGGGTGGGGCTCCTGCTAGGGCAAGCTAACCTGAATGCTTGTTTCTCTGGGAGGAAAAAGCCAAAACAACTTCTAAATGAGTCTATTGTGTTGAGCTATGATAGCAAGCACTCTAAGATTTATACCCCTGTTCAACTGTTCTGCATCCCCATGCTTGATCTCTAACCCACCAGAGCAGAAAACATATGTGGAAGAGTAGTTTTTAAAGTAACTTTTATTTATTGGCGGGGCAGGGCACTGTGCCACAGCTTGATTGGAGAGGTCAGAGGATAACTCTCAGGAGTCAATCTCTCTCCTTCCACTGTTTGTGTCCTGGAGGTCAAACTCAGGTCATCAGACTTGGTGGCAAGTGTCTTTTCTGGCTGAGAAAAGACATAGCCCTACTTGCACCACACATAGCCAAAGCTGGTCTTGAACTTCTTATCCTAATGCTTCCATCTCCTGAGCATTGGGATTACAGATGTGCACCACTGTGTCTGGCTCATGTAAGGCGGATTTTGTGCTGGCTAAAATCTCTCTGAAAATATTAATTTCAGAGTTAGCTAGAGTGCTGAGAATAAAATTCCCAGCAGGACCGAAATACTTATTTGCAACACTTACATGTTTTTAAAACCAGATTCCAAAACAAAACAAAAAAAACAAAAACAGTTCTCCTGTCTCCTCATGTGCAATGCCAGTATGGCTTACTCAGTGCTTGAGGGCACTTGAGATCTTTGGACAAACCCTTAGTCACTACTTTCTTTGGTCCCATTACCTTGCTGAAGAAAAAAACAACAACAAGAGCAAAACCACTTGTTGAAGCTGGGTATGGAGATGCACATCTTTAATCCCTTCTACCTCTGAGGAAGTAGAGGCTGGTGGATCTTTATGAGGTTAAGGCCAGCACGGTCTCTCATAAGGAGCTCCAGACCAGCCGAGGCTAAATTTTGAAATCCTATTGCAAAATAAAACAAGATTAGTATTGTCAGCTTGGCAGGACTTCAAATCACTATGGAAACAAAGCTCTGGGCATGTCTGTGAGGAATAATCTATATTTAGGTTATAGGGAAGTGGGAAGATCCACCATAAGTGGAGTGGCCCCATTCCCAAGGCTGGGGTCCTGGACCAAAGACAAAGGAGAAAGTGATCTGTGCACCAGCATGCATTTCTATTTGCTTCCCGACCAAAGTTGTGATGTGACTGCCACCATGATGGACTGTCCCTTCCAACTGTGAGCCACAGGAATCTATCCTTCCTTCCTTAAGTTGCTTTTGTCAGACATTTGTCACAGCATGGAGACAAGTAACCAATATACCCATACATCAGCCAATGATGAGAAATGATTTTATTGGGTGATTTTTTTAAAGGCATTGCCTGCCAGGGGGAACTTACAGAACTCATCAGGACCTACCCACCACCACCAAAGAATGAAGAGCCACAGACCATTGCATTTTTTCAAATAAGGAGCACATTGCAGAAGTGCTTTGGGGGGACTCAGGAAATTAGTTCAGGATAGGTTGGGGAGTTTCCCGGTCCCAGGGCTTTGGAGACCTTCTGGCAGAATTCACCTTCCACTCTTTCTTCCATAGACTTGGACTTTAAGAATGCACCATTTCCTGGAATTCTAGAATAGAAGAGGAAAGAACAGACTCAGTGTTTTGCAGGTGTGCTGTCCCCCAGAGAATCCTGAAGAGAGGGAAAAAAAGATGAAATAAATTCTCAGAGAAGCATGGCCCCATTCGGGACTTGCCTGGAAGACACCGAGCATCAGTGAGCATGGGAGTTTGCAGCATCCCATCCAGCTGTTGCATTACTTTTTAGGTAGGGTTTTCCCTGGCAGCTCCAGTTGGTCTCAAATTGATTATCTTCTTGTCTCAGTCTCCAAAGTGCTGGTATTGCAGGTATTTGCCAAATGCCTTAGCTTTCTGTACATAATTTTTTTGAGATGTTCTAATATAGACTACTGGTCTCAAACTTTCTATATAGCCAAGGATGATCTTGAACTCCTGCCTTGTTATCGTCCTGCCTCCACATCCCAGGTGTGGGATTGCAAGCCTGTGCAACAACATGCACTGTTTTCTCTGCATAGGCTATGTGTGTGCATGTACACATATATGTGCAAGTGTGTGGGATGAGTATGTGTGCATGTGTATGGATGCACATGTGTATACATGGGTGGAAGCCAGCAGTTGGCATGAGGAGTATTCCTCAGTTACTCTCCATCTTGTGTATCGACACAGGGTCTCGCACTTGAACCTAGAGCTCACTGATCCATCTACTCCAGCTTGCCAAGGATCCAGGGATCCCCTGTCTCCATTTCTCAAGTGAGGCCTGAGGTTGCAGGTGGGCCACCTGGATCTCCGAGCATTTGCATTTGAATTCCCAGAATTCGAACTGTGGTCCTTACACTTGCATGGCAGATGCTTTAGACCTGCTGAGCCATCTCCCAGACCCATGCATATTGTATTTAACAAATATCTTCATATCTACAGCCCCTTAGTTAGAGCTCAACTTAGTCATCTTTCCCCAGCAGTGAAGGAATTTGGTATAATTGTTCACTGTAAACATGCAGTGTATTGTCTGGTTCATGTCAGATAAACACGGGAGGTTTTCCTTCACTATTCTGTAGCTGTGTGATTCAACAGGGTAGAGCTTTAAACAGATTTTCCTCCTGAGCCCTAACCTTAGCCTTCCTCCAACGTTTATATTACTAAAAGAAACATACTTATGATCTGACAATCTTTTCTGCGTGAGAGAGTGGTGTGTACATGCCTGTGTGCATGCATTGTGTGTGCATGTGTGCATGTGTGTGTGTGTGTGTGTGTGTGTGATATGTATACCTGTGAGCCCAGAGAAGCCAGAGAAGAATGCTGTGTGTTCTGCTCTATCACTGTCCACCTTATTCCCTTGAGACAGGGTCTCTCACTGAACCTGGAGCTAGACTCAAAGACAGCAAGCCGAAATTATTCCCCTATCTCCACTTCAGATAGCACTGGCGTTATAGGTTTATTCGTAGCCATGCCTAGATTTTTACATGGGCGTTGTGGTCCAATCGCAGGTCCTCATGTCTGTGCATCAAGCATTCTTATCTACCTAACATCTCGAACCCGACACTAATGAACTGTGGCTGGTGCAGTGGAATTGAAAATGGAGATTTGCTTTATATTGGCTGGTTCAACTTTTATCTCTGCAGAGTCTTTCAAGGTTGTGGCTTTTTGCAAATTAGCATTTTAAATTTGAGAAAGGGTTTTAACTTCCATAGCCAAGGCTAGCCTAGAATTCATAATGTAGCCTGGCTTCAAGCTCCACAACTTGCCAAATGCTGGTATTATACACATGTGCCACCAACCTGGGCTTCATGGTTATGTTTAAATGCGTCAAGCTTCCTTTGCCTGAGCTGTTTTATCTAGGACCTATAAAAGCTTTGTGAAATAATATATTTCAGTAAGGATCTAAGGTTGGGCATGTGACATTGCCTGCAAATCACAGGACCAGGGAGGTAGCAGCAGGAGAATCAGGAATTCAAAGTCAGTTCCAGCTACATATGAAGAAGTTCAAGGCCAGCCAGGACTGTATATGAGACCCTGCCCCAGACAAACAAATGTACTTTAGCATTTTCAGTTTCTCTAACTAGTGCCACAAGCAGGATGCCCCTCCCTATACCATCGTCTGAGTCATCGCCTAAACAGAAATGTAAGTGGCTTGACAAAATCAAACATAAACAATCTTACGACATTTGAGTCTAGGACTCTGCACGTAGATGACACTATGAATTATAGTTGGCTTATTTGTCCTTTATTGGCCCTGTTGGTGTTGTTGTTGTTGTTGTTGGTGGTGTGTATGTGTGTGTGTGTGTGTGTGTACGCCCATGCATTTGTGTGAACATGCACATGTAGAGGCTAGAAATTAGAATCATTGTTGCTTTCAATTGTTCTTCCCTTATTTTTTGATATAGGGTCTCTCATAGAGACCTAGGTGCACTGATTTGTGCTAGGGTGGGTGGTGAGTAGGTCCCTGAGGATCTGCCCTCCGTCTCCATGCTTCCCCCTCCACTGGGTGTTGTGATCACTAATGCATGCCATCATGCCCAGCTTCTAACACAGCTGGTGGGGATCTGAACTCAGGTCCTAACATGTGTGTGGCAAACACTATTGACTGAGCCACCTCCCAGCCCCTGTCCTCTGTTTAACACATCCATTGGTGGGCAGTAAACTGTCATACTATCTTTGCTTAAATCCTGGCAGATATTTCTTGCATTATTTTCAAAGCAGACTAAAAGCACCTTGCAAATTAGTTTGGAAGACCAAGTGATTAGCTAGTCCCTTCATCAGAGGAACCATTTTTTTTCTAAGTTCATAGTTAGTGACTAGTTCATAGTTATGTTGTATCATGTAACACAGAAGTGTGTGTGTGTGTGTGTGTGTGTGTGTGTGTGTGTGTGTCCTGAGACAGAGCCTCACTCTGCAACCCATAAGCTCCTTATGTAGCCCAGACTGGTCTCAAACTCACTGCAAATCTCCTTCCTCAGCCTCTAAAGTGCTGGGATTACAGATGTGAATTCTTGTCTTCAAGCATTGCATGTGTACACATGTGGAAGTCAGAAGAGAACTTTTGGAAGTTGGTTCTCTCCTCCTACCATGTAGGCTCCAGGGATTGAACTTGGGTCCCCCGACTTGGCAGCAAGAACCCTTTCTCACTGAGCCTTCTTACCATCCACATCCCAGAATCTGTGTATGCTGGGGAAGGGGAGCAGTGCTGGAGACCAAATTCAAACGTGCTAAGCACATGCTGGACCCATGAGCTACCTCCCCAGTGATACCACATGCTTGTGCCCAACTGGCATGCTTGCCCAATCCCATTTTGCAGGTGAGAAGACTGAATTCATCAGAACTCTGAAAAGGGGTTTAGCCCAGAAGCCCCCTTGGGTACCCCCTCTGCTGATGTGTTTTATGCTACATGTAGGAGCAGACCTACCATCAGCCCCGATCTTCCCATCTCCATCATTGTCCGCTGCAGCCATCAAGGACTTGGTCTCTGACTCAGTCAGCTCTCTCGCATCACTCTGGAACTTCTGGAGGAAAAACCTACAGCACCACAAAAGGCTGGTGGCAAGTTCCCGCAGGACCTTGTGCGCTTTGCCTTACCCTCCCTCCCTCCCTTCCTCCCTCCCTCCCTCCCTCCCTCCCTTCTCTCTCCTTCTCCCTTTCCCCTTCCTTCTCCCTTCCCCCTCCTCCTCTTCCTCCCTGTCCCCTTCCCTTCTTTCCAGTCCATGTATCTGACAGCCACAAACATCAGTCAAAGCCTAGATGGCAGGGCTCTCTTTTGCCATAGAAACCAGTGCCAGGTGTCCATTTTAAAGAGTTTTGTTAAGTTTCATTTGCCATAGGAAATCCCTTGAACAAATCACTCTTTGTACCGAGTCCTCAGTGCCACATTTAGTGCCCCATGCAGGTAGAAGTGTGGCCAGTTTACACTCTCTGAAACGCAGATGAGCATCCAATGCCAGAGCTGGCCATGGAGAAAGTACTGAGCACACAGGGGCTTCCATGCACCCCAGCCCCATCCATCCATGATGAGTCGATCAGTACACAGCTTACTTGAGCTCATCTTCGTCCAAGTATCCACTCTGGTCATTGTCTATGAACCGGAAGACATCCTTCACTTGGCTGGCAGACATCTTGGAGAGGCCTGAAGTCTGGAAGAACTTTTGTGGTTCAAAAGTGTCTGGGTCTAGAGAACAGACAGGTTATCCTGACTTCAGTGGGTCACATTCTGGATTTATGCCCAGGTGACAAAGGTGTAGGCTATTAAAATACTTCCCTATGGTCACCGAGCTACATGGATCCTTGACTTTCCCGGGACTCAGGGGGGCAAGACTAGGTGGTCTGTGATGTCACCTTGTCCCTGCTGCCCCCGGTTGCCCTCTCCACTTGATTTTGCACACCTCTCCTGGCTCTGCTCTGAGCCTTCCCTTACCTCTCCTCACCCAGCAACTGCACACAGCACCATGGGTGTAATTGATGGAAACAGTGAATTCAAACAGGTTCAGGAGAATAAGTGTGCTGACTCACTCTTGTTTGACTAACTCAGGCTGACCCTAGTATTGAGCGGCAGCCCTCCATCCTTTCTGCTGAGGCTTGTTTGTTGTTTGTTTGTTCATTCCTTTTTTTTCTGCTTTTCAGTTCTTCGAATTGAACTGAGGGCTTTGTGCATGCAAGCAAGTGCTCTCTACCACTGAGCTACATTACTGACCCCCAGTGACTCCCCCCGCCCAGTCCTTTAGTCAATCTTACCTAAGCATACCCACATACTCAGGTCTTGAAATTCCTATAGTGTTAGTGGGCTAATTACAGCAGTTCCACTAATGGATTCTGCACCTCTTTGAGTGTTTTCATCTTTACTGCTTTGATGAAGGTGGGAACTCATGCCTGCCTCGTGTCTCCCTTCAACTTTATAATTACTTTCATTTGTTTGCCTGTTTTTGAGACAGAGATTCATAGTCCTGGCTGGCCTCAAGCTCCCTATGTAGCCAGGAATGGTCTAGAAGTCCTAATCCTCCTGCCTCCAACTCCCTAGTGTGGAGAATACGGGTATATATCACCATTCTTTCCCATGCTGGGGATGGAACCCAAGCCTTCGTACATGCTAGGCAGGCACCCTATCAACTGCCCTAGAGCTTGATTTCCTTCTGCTTCAGTCCCCAGGGTGCCACCAAGCCCCACTCCTCCAGTCCCCCCTCACCTTGGCATTCCTGCAGAGCTGCTGCGATGTCGTCAGCACTAAGCACGTCCGTGATGCTCATTTTCCACCTGGTCATACAGAATAAACGAAATGTGAGTAATGGCAACGGGGAAAATGGACATGTGGGAAGAACACGTATTCTCTGCACTGCGTGTATTCCTAGAGTTTTAAAATGTGATAAGCACCTGTTAAGTGATAGAACAGAGTACCAAGTCAAACCCAGATACAGAAAATACTCCCGACACTCTTGTCTCCATGATTTATCCTGAATTCACTCAAAATTGAAGTTAAAAAGAAGAAAAAAAAAGGCCAAGCTGGGCTTGGTGTGCACACCTGTAATCCCAGTACTCAGGAGGTAGGAGGATCAAGAATCCAAGGGCATCCTTGGCTACATAGTGGACTCCAACCCAGCCTGAGAGGCATGGTCAAGTCTTTAAATCATCTAAAGCCAAATAAAAGTTATTTTCTTAAGGACCAGTCTTCTTGTAAACATTATACTCACCTAGTCAATCAGCATAGGCAGCTACGAGACATTTAAAAATTAAACACATTATAAACTGTGCTTCAGTCAGAGAATTGCAATGCTGCAGACCCCCCACGTGCCAGCCAAGTTTATAAGAAAAGAATTCTGAGTAGAAAATCTACAAGTCTAATATAGTACGTGCAGGGAAGGAGATCGTGGGATCTGGCAGGCCCACCAACTACTCACCAATTTAGATTTAAAATCGAGAGTGGGGAAAGAGTTGTAGGAACAAGGGGAAAACAACCCAGATGGGCTTTCACTACCTTATATAGGATTGAAACTGTGATGCTTACAACCTCTTAGATTTCATGTTCAAGGATCAAGTGTGTGTGGCTCAAGTATCTTTACCTTAGTAATGAAACCGTGCACACTCCCTTTCCCTCTTCTATTTATAGAAATGTAGATAGGAACAGCCAATTAAAAGAAGAAAAAAACCTCAACAAACCTTAACTAAGGTTTCAGTTCTGCAAACAAAGCTATTTGGTGAACTGAAGACTGCCCAGGTGTTAGTAGCTGCTGTTTGGGAAGGTCTGTCTTCAGTGTATGTGTGCTTATGTGTGAGACTGACATCAATCTAGGGTGGAAAACCTCAAAAGTCAGTGTCACAAGGCCTTGGTCACATAATTTTCTTTCCTTTTTTTCTTTTTTCTTTTTGTTTTTTGTTGTTGTTTTCTGTTTTCCCAGACAGGGTTTCTCTGTATAGCAGCTCTGGCTGTCCTGGGATTCACTCTGTATTGTAGATCCAGCTGACCTTGAACTCAGAGATCCACCTGCCTCTGCCTCCTGGGTGCTGGGTTTAAAGGTGTGCACCACCATCGCCTGGCACATAATTTTCCTAGCACAGTCATATATTCCAGGCTGACCACAAACTCACAGGTGCCTAAGAATAACATTGAACTCTACCTTCGGAGTGGTGGCTGGGATTCTAGTGTATCCCACAATGCAGTGCTGGGGATGGAACCTGGGGCTTCCTGCCCGCTAGGCAGGCTGCACCAACTGAGGCCCATTCCCAGACCCAACAGTTTTCTTTTTTGAAATGATATTTTTCTGTGTTGCCCCAGGCAGGCTGGCAATCCTGCCTCAGCTTCCCAAACTGATGGAATTACGGCCCCACTTTCTTAACTATGTGTGTGTTTACATATTTGCGTGTGTACACACCTGTGCAGACAGCGGTCAATGTCCAGTATCTTTCTCAGTTGCTCTCCACTTTCTCTTTTGAGAATCTCTCAGTGAACCTAGCATCCTAGGACTTAGCCAGCCTGGTTGGCCGACAACTTCCAGGGATCATTGTGGCTCCACCTCCCCAGTGCTGGGGGTTAGAAGTGCGTTGCCACACCCAGCTTTTTGATGTAGGTTCCTGTTCTCAGAGGTGGGTAGGCATGCTTGTGCAGCAGGCACTTCACCCGCTGAGCCCTCTCCCCAGCCTCCTCACTTCTTTGAAGTTTGCATACAGGAAATACAGTCAGCTGTTTGCATTGTGCCATAGAACACACACACACACACACAGACACACATGCACATGCACGCATACATGCACACAGAGGGAAAGGGAGAAACAGATACACACAGGGTGGGGCACACACTCCTGTAATCCCAGCACTGGGGAGGTAGGACAGGAAGCTCCCTGGGGCTCATTGGCCAATCAGTGAGCTCCAAAGTGAGAGACCTGTAAGTGAAAAGGGATTGAGGTAGGGTGTAGTGGGGCACGTCTTTGATCCTAGCATTTGGGAGGTAGAGGAAGATTGTTCTCTGTGAGTTCCAGGCCAGTCAAGGATACAAAGGGGGACACCGTCTCAATGGGGAAAAAATGATTGAGAAAGACACCAATGACTGCCTCTGTCTCTCTGTGTCTCTCTGTCTCTGTCTCTCTGTCTCTCTGTCTCACACACACACACACACACACACACACACACACACACACACATCCAAGTCAGTTCAGCTTGACAGTTAGTCCATATCAACAGACTTACTCCTAGCAACATGTTTCTTAGTTTCTTTTCCTGTTGTGACTAGATACCCTAGCATATTGCTTACACAAGAAAAGTTTTGTTTGACTTAGAGTTTGAAGTCATAATTGTGGTCATTATTAAATATATTCATCACATCTTTAAGACTCTATTCAGGTGGCAATGTTTGCTCTCTCCTTGTCTAATTCGTCAGGTACCTTTTGTCCTGTGCGTGTGTTGGGGGCAGGGGATGTTCGGTTTAGTTTTGGTGTTTCAGGACAGGGTTTCTCTGTGTAGCACTGGCTGTCCTGCAACTCACTCTGTTGATCACAGAGACCTCAAATTCAGAGATTCACCTGCTTCTGCCTTTCAAGTGCTGGGATGAAAAGTGTGTACCACCACTGCCCAGCATGTGTTTTGGATTTTGAGATCAATTATGTGTCATCACAAAGAAGCAAAAACATCTCAGTAAAAGAAAAAATTCACTACTTTTTAGTGACTTTTCTAGTTAGCAGCAACAAAGATGACTCCCTGTGCTTAATAATTTAGCCTTTTGGGTGAAGTTCTGGTTAGAATAGGTCAAAAGCATGAATAATACACAGGTTTGTGAATCATGCGGCCCAGCTGTGCAAACACTGGCCAAAAAAAAAAAAAAAAAAAAACACCTTCTGCACTTACAAAGAGGCTCAGGCATCTGGATCGGGTGGCTGGGTATGGTGAAACCAAATCTAGTTCCTGGGAGTCCCAGGTCATGGTTGATGGTATCAAACAACAACACTGCCTGTTACTGTTTACAGGTCTCTTCAGGTTGAACTATGCAGTCCCAAATTCCCTCAAATTTGGAGAAATAAGACCCCAAGCTCTGTATCCCTTCTCCCTCATGTTTACCAGGTCACCAAGTCATTCCTGCCCTATTTCCATGGCCTAACACCTCCTGGTGAGATGAGGATTATTTTAAATTTTGCTTTATTTTATGCAGGTGTGTGTGTGTGTGTGTGTGTGTGTGTGTGTGTGTGTGTGTGTGTGTGTGTAGGTGTGCCTAGTGGCGAGGACATCAGACCTGCTGCAACTGGTTTACCATGTGGATGACCTGAAGAACTGAACCCAGGTCCTCTACAAGAACAGCCAGTGCTCTTAACTGCTGAGCCATCTCTCCACATCGTTGATGGCTTATGTTGATTGTTAAATTGCTTGACTTAGGATACCCCTAGGAAGTTCATGAAGCATACCTCTGGGTGAGCCTGTGAGTAGGTTTCCAAAGACAATTGGATGATAAGAACCTTAAGAATCCGGGCGGTGGTGGCGCACGCCTTTAATCCCAGCACTCGTGAGGCAGAGGCAGGCGGATCTCTGTGAGTTCGAGGGTTCCAATTTTTTTTAATTTGTTTTATCATGTATATGGATTCTGCCTGCATGTACACCTGCAGGCCAAAAGAGGGCACCAGATCTCATTATAGACAGTTGTGAGCCACCATGTGGTTGCTGGGAATTGAACTCAGGACCCCTGGAAGAGGAGTTAGTGCTCTTAACTGCTGAGTCATCTCTCCAGCCCAGGTTCCCATTTTGAATGAACCATTGGGAGGCAATGGAACTGTAGCTTGGTTAGAGGCAGTAAGTCCTTGGGGGAGCATCACTGAGGGCACATCTTTCTCTCTGCTTCTTGGCAGCCATGATGTGAATTGTTTTGCTTCACACCTTCCCCATCATGATGGGCCAACTTGCATGAAACTGGGAGTTAAAAATCCTTCTTCTTTGCATGTTGCTTATTGTTGGGCATTCTCTGATAGCAGTGAGGGTATTAAAATAAAGGTCTCACTTCCTCATAGAATCAACTTTTTCTTTTTCTTTTTAGGCTGGGTCTGATCATGTAGCCCTAGCTAGCCTTGAACTCACAGAGATCCACCTGCCTCTGCATCCTGAGTGCAGGGATTAAAGGTGTGCCCCACCACACCCAGCAGAATCAACCATTTTTATCCTATCTAAATCCAGCTCCTCCATGCCTTCTTTTGGTCCTTTCTCGATCACTCAAAAATGTCCTCTCCATTTTCTCTCTCCTCTTTTTCCTGCATTATAATTTTTGCTCCCTAATAGATCATAGTATAGATGAAGAATGAGCAAATGAGAAGATGCTTAGAATTACCAGTCATTAAAATAGACACAGTCTGAAACACAATGAGACACCACTATACAGCAAAAGAAAAAAATGGTGATGGTGAAAAAGACAGGTCAGTGTCAAGTGTGAGAGCATGGAAAGCCTGAAACTCTTTCTTCTGAGTGGACAAGAAATGTTTTACCCAAGTGACAGACTCTCTTTTCATTTTTTAGCAACCACCACCTCCTTCTCTTCCTCCTCCTCATTTTAATGCAGTACCTAGGGCCTCACTGTGCTAGGCAAATGCTCTACCACTGAGCCACACCCTTAGCCCCACACTGGGAGATTCTAGGCAGGTACTCTACCACCAATCGATGCCCTAGCACTTTTGATTTTGAGGTAGGGTCTCACTAAGTTGCCTTGAACTCATGATCCTTCTGTCTCAGCTCCCTGAGTCCTGGCAAGACCTGCACTACCCAGGTCCAGCTTAACACGTTTTGCTTCTTGAAATGAAATTTTCAGCTGGGCGTTGGTGGCGCACGCCTTTGATCCCAGCACTCAGGAGAGGCAGAGGCAGGCGGATCTCTGTAAGTTCAATGCCAGCCTGGTCTATAGAGCAAGTTCCAGGACAGCCTCCAAAACAATACAGAGAAACCCTGTCTTGAAAAATCAAAAGTAAAATAAAAAGGAAATGAAATTTTCGTTAGGAAACAAACTAGCAGTGTCTTGAAATGTTCAAGGCACAGCTATCACGTGATCCAGCTGTACCCTTCTGGCATCTCCCTTAAGAACTGAGATTCCCACAGCTTGTGTTCCTCCCATCCTGTTAAAGATCCTGTGGATGATAATATCCCGTTTGCTGTCAGTGATGACATTTGCAGGCTTCTTGCTAAGAATTCCTCAAGCAATCAATTAAAACCTTATCCTGGGAGCTTTCCTCTGTCTCACCCACTTGGGGGTCTTTATTCAGTGTATGGATTTTTGACCAAGGACGAAAAGCATCAGAGGAGCACAAAGCTGCTTAGATAGGTTGGAAATGCTATCGGACAAGAGAAACCAAACACTGTAGAAGGCTGATTTTTTCATGAACAAGAAACATGAGCATCCTCATCTCAATTTCCAGATGGACTGGAGGCCGTATTTGACAGAGACTCACCTGAGTTAATTAAGGAGAAATTGTCGCCAAACCTTATGTCATGAGAGAGGCTGCATCTATGGATCCCAGGTACCCTTTTATTATCTGTAATCTATGACATAGGTGCCCTGGGGAATCTTCTGATACTAGACAGATATACTCCTAAAACTCAGATCAGAGAGAAAACCATTCCATATGGCACTTTTCAAGCAATGAAGGTTGACTTCAAAAATTCCAAAGAGGGGCCAGCAAGATGGCTGAATGGGTACAGACCCTTGCTTCCAACATTGCTGGCATGAGTTCAATCCCAGGGGCCCACATGGCAGAAAGAAAGAACCTCCAGGTCCTATAATGGTGAACGCCTTTAATCCTAGCATTTGGGAGGCAGATCTCAGGGTTCAAGGCCAGCCTGTTTATATGAGTTCCAGGACAACCAGGACTATACAGAGAAACATTGTCTTGAAAAAAAAAAAAACAAACAAGCAAGGAACTAATTCCCATGGATTGTCTTCTGGCCACACACATGCACACATCATAAACTAAATATTTCAAATTCAATTTTTTTTAATTTTAAAGATAGGAGTGTGGCAATGGCCTGGTGGATAACGGTGCTTGCTCCACATTCACGAGAACAAGCAGACCTGAGTTTGAATTCCCAGAACCCAGTGTGCTCATAATCCTAGTGCTGGGAGGCAAACACAGGTGAACCTTGATTGCTCAGCGACCAGGATTCCTGCTCAAAATGGCTGGCTTCCAGTTCAATGGGAGTCACTGTTTGAAAGCAGCGAGATGGAGAGCAATAGTGGAAGACACCCAATGTCTTGCTCTGGCCTCCCCATGTATGTATGTGTATGTGTGTATATATATATGTGTGTGTGTGTGTGTGTGTGTGTGTGTGTGTGTGTGTGTGTATAGTCACTTGATTGCAACACACACACACACACACACACACACACACACACACACACACACACACACACAGAGACATCAGAGCCTAATTCACATGATCATTGTAAAGCTTCAGGGTCCTGGAATCCAAGGTTTGCAGACTGGGATACTGCACTGTGGCTTTTCCAGCTTTCTGACCTTAGAAAACTTATGTCTTTCCATTTTGATTTTGTTATTATTGTTTTGAGGCCGGGTACAATGTATCCCAGGCTAGTCTCAAACGCTTTATGTAGGATGACCTTGACTTCCTAACCTCCCTGCTTCTCCTTACTTTCCTCCTGACCCCGGGTGGTTAGGGTCCAAGGAGAACACTAAGGTGAATTGTCATTTTGGTAAGAAATTGGTGGTGCACACCTTTAATCACAGCACATGGGAGGCAGAGGCAGGTGAATCTCTGAGAGTTCGAGGCCAGCCTGGTCTACAGAGAGAGTTTCAGGACAGCCTCCCAAGCCACAGAGAAACCCTGTCTGGAAAAAACAAACAAACAAAAAAAAAGTATGAGATCTTGGGGCTGGAGAGATGGCTCAACAGGTGAAGAGAGGACCCGAGTTCAGATCCACAGCACCCAGGCAAAGATATTGAGCAAAAGCATCATGTGCTGTAATCCCAGCACTGAGGAGCCAGACATGGATGGGCTTACTGCCCAGCCTAGCCTAGCTCTATCAACCCTGAGTCCAAGTGAGACATTGTCTCAGAAAATAAGGTGGAGAGAGATAGAGTGAGATATTTGACATGGATCCCTGGCTTCCACACACATGTGCATGTGCACTCTTGTGTATGCATGCATACACCACACACACACACACACACACACACACACACACACACACACACTGTGAACTGTTAAACACGCTCCTAGGAAAATGCTCCAGGACTCTCAGGTGTCCTCAACTCTCAGGGTCAGCCAGAGAACAGCTTTAGGTGCCACTTGGAAAGCAGCCTAATGAGAAATTCCTACAGAGCTAGTGCCAGGACAGGCTCCAAAGCTACACAGAGAAAACCTGCTTAGAAACCCCCCAAAAAAGAAAAAGTAATTATAACAGCTATTAATGTCACATGGACATATAGACAACTGAATAGAGGGGGCTCTGAGGAGAATTCAGGCTTTGATGCCATAGGTAAGCAAACAGTATGTTGAGGTCTCTGATTAGACATGGGAGGGGGGCTCTTCTTATAGGCCTCTGTGAAGGGGAGAGATTTTACAGCAGAACCCTGCACCCAGGGTCTGCTTTCTACGCAGCAAAGGGAGGGGAGGGAACGGAGGAGAAGGAGTACCGTTAGTTGGGGCTTACCCATTATGGGGGTGGGCATGCTTTGCCACCCAGATCACCTTCTGGTGTCCGAGGAGTCTGTCACAGGCTCTCAGGAGGTACCTGTCTGTCCTCGTAGCAGCAGGGAGCACAGAACTTGAGGGCTGGGATGGGTATCACAATTTCCTCATATGCTTTAGCCAAAGTCATGGGCCCCCACGGAGCATGGCTCCCACTGACTTGATACACACTCTGCTCTGGTGCTCTGCCCTACAATTTCTAGCTGCTTTGACATGCCCAGACTCATCTCACGGCACCTTGGGAGGACACAGGCTCTGCCTGTGCTGCCCTCTCCTCAAATCTCAGCCTTGAACTCTTCACCTCTCCAGCTTCCCAATCGCTGCCTCTTCTGCTTTCAGATCCAGCTCTGTAGGTGTTTAAGTCAGGAGGCTGTGACGACTTTTCTGTGATAAATTCTCGAGAGAAGTGGCACGTTGGCCAGGCTGTGCCTGCCCAGTGTGGATGGAGCCCTGGGGTCCATCCCAGAAGCACTTAAACCTCATTGGTCCAGGCCTGTAATCCTAGCACTCACCAGGTAGAGGAAGAACAGAATTTCAAGGTCATCCTTGGCTACATAGGACATTTGAGGTCAGCCTGAGCTACACAAGACCCTGTTTAAAAAGGGGGGCTGGAGATACGGTTCAATATTAAGAGCACTGGCTGCTCTTCCAGAAGACCTGGGTTCAATTCCCAGCATCCACAGTGTCTGTAATTCCACTCCCAATGAATCTGACACCAATGCACATAACATAAAATAAATTATAAGAAAATGTTTGTGAACTTTTTTTTAAATTGTAAGTGTGCAGAATATCGATTTCCTGAGGAATTCTGACCAATCTCCTTGCGCCATTGTTTGCTGGGTAAATCTTACAGCTGCCTGTAGAGGTCACCAGAGGAAGGCTAGTCAGAAAAGACAACAGGTCACACCCCAGCAGGGCACCTGAGCAGAGGGATCTGAGGAGAGTAGTGTGTTTAAAGTAAGACATTCCCTTCACAGAACCAAAGTTTGGAGTGAAGAGAGAGTGAAGCCCTTATCAAAACAAATGACATCAAAGCAACCACATTAGGATTGTCTGATGAAGAGCCAAGGTGGAAAGACTTGGTTGTGTTCTGGAATCTGGAACATTCATTCTAGTTGAGGTCGGAGCTATTAAATTCTTCTTTTCCAAAACTGGGCCTTCAGCTCAAGTGTCTCTTTTTTTTTTTTTTTTTTTTTTTTTTTTTTTGGTTTTAAGAGACAGGGTTTCTCTGTATTGTTTTGGAGGCTGACGGTCCAGCCTGGCCTCGAACTCAGAGAGATCCACCTGCCTCTGCCTTCCCGTCAAGTGTCTCATAAAAGATCTTTTTGCACTCCGATGGGCACAACAGTGTGTGTGTGTGTGTGTGTGTGTGTGTGTGTGTGTGTGTGTTTCTTCATATTTTCTTATTTCTAGGCAGTTACAGGAATGGCACCCAAGGCCTTCCTCTTGCTAGGACCACCAAGCCACACCCCAGACCCTCACTGGGGAATTCTAGGCAGGTGCTCTACCACTGAACCACACCTAAGCCCCTCACTGAGGGATTCTTGACAGATGCTCTACCACTGAACAATACCCCAGCCCCTTACTGGGGGATTCTAGGCAGGTGATCTCCCACTGAGCCAGGTCCCCAGATCATTAAAACATTTTGAATTTATATATAGTAAATGCTCACATTGTGATGTTTTACTACTGTGTTAATCATTGATTAGTATATCTATCACTTCAAACATATATCATTATTGAGGGATATCATTAGTCTAACAAAGTTTACTGTGGAAGAAATTGAATACTGCGCTGATCTACAAATCTGATTCTCACAGTGGTAAAGATATTCCAGCAATGGCGAAAACTACAAACACATAGGAAAATACATACTGACACAAGAATAGAACTTGGCCGCAGTGACTCAGCTATAATCCCAGTGCTTAGGAGATGGAGGAAGGAGTATCAGCAGTTCAAAGCCAGCCTCAGCTACACAGCAAGTTCAAGGACAGCCTTTGTTAAATGCCATCCTAGTTCAAAATAAAAAAATAGGAAAGACAGAAAGGAAGAAGGAAAGAAGGACATTAAACCTTATCATGACATCAAAAGGTTATTGCTGTGACATTTGAATGTGTGTTCACAGTGCCATATACCTGACTACAACAACACTGGAGATTTAATATACATAGGTTGGAATTTCCTTTTGCTAAGAAGACTTGTTCCAAAGAGGTAGTTTGTTTTCAGTCTAAAGCCAATGAGAGAGAGAGAGAGAGAGAGAGAGAGAGAGAGAGAGAGAGAGAGAGAGAGAGAGAGAGAGAGAGAGGGGAGAGAGAGAGAGAGAGAGAGAGAGAGAGAGAGAGAGAGAGAGAGAGAGAGAGAGAGAGGTTGGTTGCTTCAACTGGGTGTGCATTAAAGACAACTGAGCAGGGCTCCAGGTGTGGCTGAGTTGTGGAATGCTTTCCCAGAATCCCCCCATAAAGGGTTCCTATTGCCATGATAAAACCCCATGACCAAAATCAACTGGAGGAGGAAAGGCTTACTTCTGTTTACAGTTCTACATCACAGTCCATCATGTGGGGAGCTCAGGGCAGGAACTCAAGCAGGGCAGGAACCTGGAGGCAGGAGCTGATGTAGAGGCCATGGAGGAGTGCTGCTTACTGGCTTGCTCTGCCTGCTTTCTTACACAAGCCAGGATCAACTGTCCAGGAGTGGCCCTGCCCACAGTGAGCTGGGTCCTCCCACATCAATTATTAATTAAAGCAAACTTGCTTACAGGCCAATCTCATGGAAGCATTTTCTCAACTAAGATTACTTCTTCCCAGATATGACTAGGTTTGTGTTTCATTGACAAAAACCAACCAGTCTAGAGGGGCATTTGTGTTGTATAAAAAATAAAGTTCAATCTCCTCAGCCATCAGAGAAATGCAAATAGAAAATACATTGAGATTCCATCTCACTCCACCTAGACTTGCCATCAATAGAAAACAGAAGGCTGAATCGGGCAATGGTGATGCACGCCTTTAATCTCAGCACTTGGGAGGCAGAGGCAGGGGGATCTCTGTGAGTTCGAGGTCAGCCTGATCTATAGAGTGAGTTCCAGGACAACCAGGGCTACACAAAGAAACCCTGTCTCAAAACAACATTTTAAAAAATTAGAAGCACTTGCCGTGTAATCATGAAGACCAGAATTTGGATCTCAGCACCCATGTGTCAAGATGAGTTTCCAGGACATGCCTGCAGCCCAGCTTAAAATGGCTGAGAACAGCAGGGTTACTGGGACCAGCCTAGCTAAGAAAGAACAGTTGTATCCCAGATTCAGGGAGAGACCCTATCTCAAAGCAAATGGGTGTAGATTGGTATGAGAACACCCAATGTCCTCTTCTGCACATAGGCATACACACCCACATGCGTGTGCACGTACACACACACACACACACACACACACACACACAGCAGATAAATCACAGAGGGATAACAGGGCTGTAGAGAGAGTTCATTGGTTGAGACTAATTGTTGCTCTTGCAAGAGGACCCAGGTTTAATTCCAGCACCCACAATGGTGTCTCACAAATATCTGTAATTCCAGTTCCTAGAAAGGGGTGGGGAAAAGAACCAATAAAATAAGATTTTTTTTAGATAATGTCTCATTCGGTAGACCTGGCTAGTCCAGAACTTGGTATGACTTAATAAATCAATGTCTCTGTCTCTGTCAAGAAATCAAAGAAGCCAGATATTATTATTCAAACCTGCAATCTCAGCCTTTAAGAGGACAAGGCAGTAGACTTTCTTGAGACCAGAATTTCAAATCCAACTTTGGCAATAAAGCAGACCCCAGTGTCAGAAAAATAAAACCATTTCCAAATGCGGATGTTTTTCCCCTGCACAGTTGGTTTTGCCATCAAATCCTACCGGAAGGGAGCAGCCCTTACCATGTCCACCAGGGGGCGCAATTGTCGCAGCACTGAGTCCTGTCTGTTAGGCCTTGCTCCTTAGCTCAGCAGTACAGGTTTCCCCCTTTTCTTCTGGAGGCTCCAGCCCTCTTCTCTCAGCCAGTTTTTACCCAGTGACCTCAGCCCCCTTCTGTCACCACCTTCACCCAAGAACAAGAAGCTCTATCCTGGCTGGATCATCTTGTGGAATTTTTTCGTGGCCATCCCTCCAAGAGTTAATCAAGTTCCTTTTGCTGGTGTTTTGGCCCATTAGGTTGACATAATTTTGTGACCTAAATTATTTCCTGCTATCTCTAATACCATGTCCTAGTTCCCTCTGGAGAGTGCTTATGAGGGTCAGGTGGGTTCATATGTGGACAGTACCTTATATACCTGTACTGGCTGGTTTTGTGTGTCAACTTGACACAAGCTATAGGATCATCAGAGAGGAAGGAGCCTCAGCTGAGGAAATCCTCCATGAGATCCAGCTGTGTAGGGTAAAGCCTTCCCGCCAGCCTGGTTCCAAAGCCGTATCAGTCCCAAATGAACACACAGGAGGCTATATTAATTATGAAGCTATTGGCTGTTTGCTTGGTTTCTTACTGGCTATCTCTGACTTAAGTATTTATTCCATAATTGTTAATCTAAGAATTTCTCTTACCGGAGAAAGGGTCCGGACTTCTTACCCCTATGGCAGCTACATTGTGACTCCCTGTGTTTCTCTTTTCCAAAGTCCTCCTCGACTCCTAGTCCCACCTGTCTTGCCTCCCTATTGACCAACAATGCTTTATTAACATATACACAGGCCTTCCCCATCACAGCTGTGAGGCATTTTCTCTTTATGTGATCAGTGGTGGAGGGCCCAGCCCATGGTGGGTGGTGCCATCCCTGAGCTGCTGGTCCTGGGTTCTATAAGAAGGTGGCCTGAGCAAGCCTGGGTAAGCAAGGCAGTAAACAGTACCCTTTATGGCCTCTGCATCAACTCCTGCTTCCAGCATCCTGGCCTGTTTGAGTTCCTGTCCTGACATCCTTCAGTGATGGACAGTAATGCTGAAGTATAAGCCTAATAAACCCTATGTTCTCTATCGTGGAAATGTTAAGCTACACAAAGTAGGGAAGTCCTATGATATTTTATTGAGGGACAAGTCACTTACATGAGAAGCCAAGAAAGTCAAGAACCAAATGTCCGCACGCTGCTCTCCCAGATGCGACAGGAAGCCAAAGATATCGCATCTCCTTCCCCCCAGCTCTTTTATCCCCCGCA